GTTCTGGTGACAATCAGAACGACTTTTTTCTTCCGTGACCCCTTGTGAACCTCCGTTTGACCTAAGGTCAGAAATTTAGTGTGCATTGTCCACAATTTGATGAGGTTTTCATAACGGTGTCTTAGTTTTTCTAGTGCCACATCTGGAAGTTTTAGATCCCAGGTGGCAGTTAACTCCCCCCCCCCCCCCCCCCCCCCGGTTGCGAGCGTTTGTTCCAGACCCCGGCCGGGCGCGGGTTAAGCTTGTTTGGCTCCGTAAAAGACAAGAGATGTAAAGAGCAGCCAGCACCCGCTCTGCCCACCCGCCCGCTGGCCTCACCGCCACCCCGGCCCGACCACCCGGCACCCGCTCTGCCCCCCCCCCTCACCCGCCCGCTGTGGCCTCACCGCCACCCCGGCCCGACCACCCGGCACCCGCTCTGCCCCCCCCCCCCCCTCACCCCGCCCGCTGGCCTCACCGCCACCCCGGCCCGACCACCCGGCACCCGCTCTGCCCACCCCCCACCCGCCCGCTGGCCTCACCGCCACCCCGGCCCGACCACCCGGCACCCGCTCTGCCCACCCCCCACCCGCCCGCTGGCCTCACCGCCACCCCGGCCCGACCACCCGGCACCCGCTCTGCCCACCCGCGCGCAGCCCTGTTATGCTAAGTGGACGATCGACCGAGCTAAGTGAGGGTTTGTGAGCCACCTTCGATCTGTGGCACCGACGAGTGAGCCTTCCATCATCGTAAAAAAGACATTAGGCGTTGGTCGATGCGATGAACGAGGGAGGCTTTCGAAATGCATGCGGATTTGCAGAGAATTAATTATTCCGAGTTCACGTCTTTAAAATCGAGGTATAAGTGAATTGTTTGCAACTTGTGAACCTCTCACGAAAACATAGCCCATCATGCGTGCTGGCCCTTTAAGATTTCACACAAGGCTGATTCGTGCATTCACCAACAATTTCACCGTGGTAGGGCTCAAGATAACTTAAGGCATAAAAGGTGTCGCACACGAAATACTTCTTTTTCTCCAATTTCTGACGTGCATGTATGCATAGGCAAGCATCAATGACCCTCGATCCACGACAGATAATGCCACTTAGAATGATGATAAAAATAACGATAACGGGCTAAAAGCATTATTCTTCTACAATGACGAGGCCTCTTCAAATCCACTGAAGCCGCAGACCACTGTTGATCCTCGTGGATCTCGGCTGCCTTTTTGAGTTCATGTCCTGTTCAGGGTAGTTCAGGGCGCTGATTCAGAATTTCTGCTGTATCTGATGCCGTTTACCTGAAGTCCAACCAGCACGCTCCATATTAAGGCCACTTGGAATCCTGACACATTTGGCACCTGTCTGTGATGGGATCAGCACCCCACGATTAACTGTTCGATTCCTGATGTATCGCGTTGTGTGACATGATCATCCACAGAATTACCAGGGACGTCTGCTGACGATGACAGGGCCGAAGACGCTATCGGTCCGTCCGTTCGGCGATCGTGACGTTACCCCATCATGGCGGCCAACGGAGGAGGCGCTCGTGCAGCGCTGGCATCAGACGATATGCGCCTTGACGTCATCTTTGCTGCGACGAAAATGTCGACGACGTGGAATTCACGCTTGTTTGGATCATTTACAAAAAAGTACGGGAATGCACTTGTTGCTTAAGGTCTTGGGATTAATCTAATTTAATTTGATGACACCCAAGAAAATGAGGAACATGTTTTACTCCACACTCGCAGGGATATAACCAGGGGGAGTCACGGAGGTCTTGTGGAGCCATGGAAGTGCCCCCCCCCCCGCCCCCCTCCACCATGAATGAAATGTTTGCTCTCATACTGAGCGATTTCCAACAAGTTCTGTCCGATTCGCAAGAACCTGGAAATGTTTGGCTCATTACTCCCTCCCCTCATCCTTCTCGAAGAAAGATTTTAGCTGCGTACCTTTAGACCATTTCCACGGGCGCGCATTAGTCATTAGCCATCGGTTGATCGCAGTCTGGGCTGGCCGGTATCCAACATCGAGTGACCTTCATCAATGATGTCCAGTTATCCGTCAGCAGAATGCGATCTTGACCTTAAGAACCTTGACCTTCTAAGCTTTGAACCTCTGAAACGTGTATCTGACTTCCTATACTAAAGCTTTCCAAGCCTTGAGCCTTAGAAATTTTGACCTTTTGAGCTCGTCGCTAAAAACATTAGCCTTCTGAGTCTCAATCTTACCACTTTCAGAAGCTCGAACTTGTGCATTAACCTCTTCTGTGTTTTGCACTATGAACGTCTCTGACCTTGTCTCCCTGGAAGTCCAGCTTCTGGCGTCACGGTGTGCGTCGCGTCGGATTTTTTCTAATAAGGATATCAGTGCGTCACACCTAGTATCACGCGACTATCTTCATTTGAAATTAAAGGTCCAGAATGTAGCAATTTGCATCCAGAAGTCAAGAATGAATCAAACCAGTGCTCTCCCATCAACACAGCATTGCATGTGAGTCACTTGCAACGCGGAATTTCTCAATCAAAAGACCTTTCTGCTTGAAATAGCATGCCTATCAACCTTCATTTGCGACTGCGACATAATGAATCACAAGTTAAATGTTGTCTCGTGGCTTTAAAGAACGGTTGGCTGATGTGCCTGGCAGGAAGATCTGTGTATCAGCTACAGTTGCCAAGTGCCTCTTCTGAACGCCATATTTACCTGTGAGCCATCAAAATCTGTCGTGATTTACGATAGATAGAATAAACAGTGAAAAGATGAGCACATGGGAGCCCTGAGCCCAATGTTGAGAGCGCTCAGCAGCAGCAGTGTTGTTTAGCCTCAAGCAGGCTTGTTTGACATAATCAAATAACGCCATACGCTCTTGATTTTTCGAAGGCGCAGCACCTCGAATTTTGTCATATCGCCAAATGCTTAATGGATACCAAGGGGCGCAATTTCGCAAAGTAAGTTGACAAAGAATAGAAGGAGGGCTGAGCGGGAAAAGTGGCTAAGTCTGCCCAAAGTAGTGACAAACGTATCTCTCACCAAACTTGGCCCACCTTCTTCCCGAGCTGGTGGAGCTGAAATCCCTACACGACTGAAAATGAAAACACTGTTTGATAACAAAGTTTAACCAATACCTCTTGGTGGGTTTAGGACAAAAGCTTATTGCGAAAAAAGGTCAGATACATAAAGTTCGTAGGAAATGTGCGCAAGGTATAGATCATATGGGAAAGTGCGTACGTAAAAGTTCGTCGGCACCAGTCCACAGGCGAATGTTCAAATGGTGTCAAGTACGCGTGTAAAAATATTCGTCTTGACAAAAAAATCGGCAGGAAAAATTCGTATGTATTAAGTGCATACAAAATCGCTGTAGGAAATCATGTCTACGCGACCGCCCGTAACATATAAAGTTCGTGTGACAAAAATACGCACGCAAACGTTCGTAATCATCGCTTACTTAGAACTAAGTTTGCACGGAGTGTTTGAATGGCCAGCGTTCCAGGACAGTTCGATCCCCGGGTACCAAACCATGCACCGGCAGCGCGCAGGTGTCGCTAATATGCGATATTCGCGGCGTCACACGTCAGCGCAGGCGCGTTAACCACTACGTTATCGGCACCCTTACGAGCCAAGATGCAGCCAAGAGGGTACAGCAGGTACGTCTTTCTCTCCATGTAACGGGTTACTTTTTTACGCAATCAAAGCTACTTGACAAAGACCAAACATCAAGCGCGCGTCTGCCCACCATCCTCCAATAGTGCAGCTGACTTCCCGTGCGACCGTCGGCTTGAGTCAGTGGCGCGCTCAAAGGGCGTCAGGTGCAGGCGTGTAGTTTCCAATTCAATTTCGAGCTTCAGCTCTCCCCTCCCCTCCTCTCCCCTGTCATGGACTCCAGCTCCACCCTTCTTCCAACCACGCTTTGCGAAGACCAAAACCGGGTGAAACCCGTTTGCTGACGTATTTTGGGTATGTTCAGTCATTTTTCACTGTTCGGCCCAAACTCATTTCGCGAAACTACGCCCATGGCCAGGCTGATGGCGCCAACAGAAGCGGCATCAGGGTGGAAGATAAAGGCTAAACACAGCAAACACGGCGGTTAATCTGCAGTTGACGTGCTTTTTTCAACCTACTGTCGCATCCAACCCGGGACAAGTTTAAGCTGCTCACATTCATTGATTCAGATTCATGTCCTCGCCGCCGGTGGCATTTAACTTCATGTCACGACGAGCTAGGCTAGTCTGACCTGGCCTGTGCAACTGCCGCTGTCTAATGTCATCTCCTGCCCCCCCCCCCCCCCTCCCTTCCCCGCTGCCCGCCCTGCGTCGTCGGCGTGATGTGGTGGTGGCTCCGCGGTCACATTTCATCCGAGGCCCGGCCCAAGAATGGGATCTGCATTCGAACTTACATTGGGCATCTGCATACGAACTGCTGCCAACGCACTTTTTCCAAAGGAATTTTACCTTTGACCTGCATTTGCGAACTGTTGGGTATGACCCTTTTAATTTTTTTCCGCGTGGACTTTGGCGAGCACGAAGATTTCGTCGCGAACTTTTTCCCCGACGAACCTTATGCAATGCGAGCCTAATTGTATCTGACCTTTTGACCTCACTTACTTCACCCAATACGGCCTTATCCAAACGAACCTTCAGCATTCCGATTTTATCCCAAGAAAAAAGTGTCCAGCGACGTTGTTCTATACGTGTCTTTGTCCGCAACCCGTTCATGGTCACGAGGTTCCCGGCATTGGCAGGTAGTCGTGACTCCGAGCACAGCTCGCGACGTCTAGTTTTGCCAATATAGCCAATACTTTGTTCATAACGTCGTTCACCCAGCAACTCGTGTAGTATACTGAATGTGAGTTAGTAGCAGAATAAGAATAAGAGCTCTCTGCTCACAAATTAGAAATCATTTACAAGAACTTAGAAGCGGAGGTGCCCGCAAGTGGTGCACGAGCTATTAGTTGCGTTCAAGGTTGAATGAAAACTGCGTACTGCATTCGCTTCTTTTTCTTTCACGGTGCCGTTCTTATTTCAGGTCGCTTTCCTCGTGAGTCGAATGATCGGAGTGAAGAAAGATTAGCGCCAAACCCCTGCGAAGCAGTAGCCAAATTTCGGCAAGATACGGCGGTGATCGGTTGGCCCATCGATCAACACGAACTCCCAGCGATAACACCGACGGTGTCAACATTGGCGGAGCGTCTGCCGGTGCGCAAAACAAACGCGCGGGGATTCAACGAGCCAGTCTTTTACACCTCTCAGGCTAAGGATTCTGGAATAGAAAATCCATGGCTCACAAGGCTTTAAAACTATGTGTCATGGGGAAGAGGATGGCATGTTCAAGGACTCATCATGTGAACAGGCAAACCCAGATGTTGAAAATCACGATCGGTTTGGTGTGTTTCATGCTGGTTTGCGTCTTGTGGTACGCAAAAGAAGAAAAGGAACGTGTTGCTGTCATTCATGTCCCTAAACCGTCTCCCACACCCCCGCCTGCAAAATATCCTTACATCACCGGGTGGCTTGTCAAATCCAGTTCTTGCGAGATCCCAGATTATGACCCTTGGGATGAGAGTATTGCACAAGTTATCGGTAACGAGACGCCGTTCCGCGGATGCCATAAGCAATCCATTGTGGAAATACAGCAGCACGGCAGCATGCTGTTCATGTTTAAAGACAAAAACGTGCAAAAACAGCCATGTGAGCCCGAGTGCTGTTATAGAAATGTCTCGAGGGCGGATGAAGGGCATTCGGACGACAACTATCAATTCGGCACAAAGCTCGTTTGCTTCGAAGGGGAGCACATGCTCAGAGTAAAGGAAGAGTTCATTCATATCAGATGTTTTTGTACCCACAATAATGCTACTGTTCATGAAGATTTTCGTGCATTCATCATTCCAAAAAAAGTGTCAGGGAGTTCAATACCTTCCAACAAAACCAGACAAAACGAAAATGATGTGCTCAACGTCTCTCTCATCGGCCTTGACTCCGTTTCGAGGCTTAACTTTCGACGTTTCTTGCCCAACATTGAAAAGCTTTTGATCGACAAATTTCACGGAATTCCGATGATGGGTCTTAACAAAATAGGCGTCAACACTTTCCCAAACATGCTGGCCTTCCTTAGTGGCCTACAGATGGATCAGTTGAACCAATCCCCGAGAAAAGAGCCATTCGATGACCTTCCATTCATTTGGAAAGAATTCTCCAGATTGGGCTACATCACCATGTTCAATGAAGACACCCCTGAGATCGCAACATTCAACTACAAGAAGCAAGGCTTCTACAGAACCCCCACAGACTATTACTTGAGATCTCTCTACCAAGCCATCGAACATTCTTCGTACGTGAAAAGCCGGAAAACTTTATGCATCAACAAAAGACCGCAAATCGATTTCCAACTGCAGTTGCTACAAGACTTCATGAACGAGGCCACCACTCCTCAGTTTGCGCTGTTATTCAGCAGTGCTCTCAGTCACGTGGGACCGCTGACATAGGTCAGCGGTCCCACGTGGCCACTAAGGAAGGCCAGCATGTTTGGGAAAGTGTTGACGCCTATTTTGTTAAGACCCATCATCGGAATTCCGTGAAATTTGTCGATCAAAGGCTTTTCAATGTTGGGCAAGAAACGTCGAAAGTTAAGCCTCGAAACGGAGTCAAGGCCGATGAGATAGACGTTGAGCACCTCATCATTTTCGTTTTGTCTGGTTTTGTTGGAAGGTATTGAACTCCCTGACACTTTTTTTGGAATGATGAATGCACGAAAATCTCCATGAACTGTAGCATTATTGTGGGTACAAAAACATCTGATATGAATGAACTCTTCCTTTACTCTGAGCATGTGCTCCCCTTCGAAGCAAACGAGCTTTGTGCCGAATTGATAGTTGTCGTCCGAATGCCCTTCATCCGCCCTCGAGACATTTCTATAACAGCACTCGGGCTCACATGGCTGTTTTTGCACGTTTTTGTCTTTAAACATGAACAGCATGCTGCCGTGCTGCTGTATTTCCACAATGGATTGCTTATGGCATCCGCGGAACGGCGTCTCGTTACTGATAACTTGTGCAATACTCTCATCCCAAGGGTCAAAATCTGGGATCTCGCAAGAACTGGATTTGACAAGCCACCCGGTGATGTAAGGATATTTTGCAGGCGGGGGTGTGGGAGACGGTTTAGGGACATGAATGACAGCAACACGTTCCTTTTCTTCTTTTGCGTACCACAAGACGCAAACCAGCCTGTCACCGAGCCTATGATTTTTGCCGGTTTCAGGCGTTTTTGTGGCCTTTGACCCAACATCAGGTCACCATGTTCTGCAGAGGTTAGGTTATCAACCATGATGTCTCGATTGGTGAAAGTCTGTGCCGATCAGTCCCATAAGCTCGGAGCATGGGTTGTTTGCACATAAATTTCTGGCTTCGGGTGCTTTGTGGAAACCTTTGACTTGACCCGGAGTCACCGTGGTCTCGTAATAATAGGTTATCGGCCATAGCGCATCGATTGGTAAATATTTTGTACCCATCCGTCCCGTAGCCTCGCAACATCGGATCGTCTGCACCAAATTTTGATGGGTTTTGGCGTTTTTTGTGATCTTTGACGTGACCCAGGATCACCACGTTTTGGAAAGCATATTTATCGACCATCGTGCATCCACTGGTGAAGGCTTGTGGCGGTCTGTGTTGCAGGCTGGGAGCATGGGGTTGTGTGCCAAATGTACTCCGGTTTTTGGCATTTTTGGCGACCTTTGACCTGACTCCAGGGCACTATCGTCTGAAAAAGATAGGTTATCGACCAAGCGACATTAAATGGAGAAGGCTTGGTGTCGCTCAGTGCCAAGGGCTCGTGTTGTCGGCCGTTCAGTACCTGTCGTCGCCTGCCCCCGCGCGCCTCAGACACGCCGCCCGCGCCGCCCCGCAGCCCGGCCCATGCCACCACCGTGACCGGGCCATGGCGGATCCTTGGCACGCCACCGCGCCGCCGCCGCCGCTGGCCGTCAAGGGCGTACTGCGCGTGGCCAACAAGCCGCACGTGCGCCGTGGTCAGCTGCTGGTCTCTGCCGACCCGTTCGTCTACGTGCTGAAGGCGGAAGCCGCGCGCGTCCGTTGCGCGTTCTGCCTGGACAAGTGAGCGCCCGCTGGCTGCGCCCCGGGACCGCCGCCGGCCGGGATTCAGGGTCGGATGTCAGTAGTCGCGGGGAGACGACCGTGCCTGCGGTGTGAGCCAGCTGCCCAGATGTTTGTGCGTCACCCAGCACCTCATCATGGGGACGGCATTTTTCTGGTTCGGTACATGTAGCCTTTGGTATATGTCCAAGGTTTTGTATGCATATCTTTGCTACGAAAATCTTCCTTTCACTAACTGAACCAAGTCTATGATAAGCTTATTCACAAATCGGTTTTTAATTTATCCAGTGTCACTAGCGCTAGCGGTCTCTCAGGTAGTGAAGGGGGCTGATTTGACGCGCCCGTCCTCTCTTTAGCACGTGCCATTTACCGAGGCTCTCCAGTGCGAGCGCTTTTAAGCTCGGTGCTAGCGAGTGTAAGATGGCCAATGGGACCAGTCACTGCCGAATTTAGCATGTGCTCGTGTATCAAAGCTTTCCTCTGCAAGGGTTGCATGCCCAGCACAGCCATTAGGGTATTGGTAGGCCAGAGATGTACAGACTAATATTGGCGAAAATGATGTGGCACCATTCGTACCTTGCTATACTACTTTGTCATAAATTTATCCACGCATGGTATGATATGCATGACATGACAAAGTCTATCGAGTGGTTGATGTCTCACCACAAGCCGAAAGTTCAGCACCTACACATGCCGACGCCATTACCTCCGTCTATTCTTTGAGATGATTTAGAAATATGCTTATAGCCTTACAACGCGGTGCGCGCTGCGCAACCATGTTTTGTGCAATGTTTGCAAATTTTCATTCATTTACTTTTTAGGGTCTTTCGGGCCTTGGGAGAAGAATGGAGGTGGTCCTGGAGCTCTTGGTGCTTCGCTTTACTGCCTTAGACTTTACTCGCAGTCCGTTTTTGGTTTCAACATTAGGTGACTGCTGTAATTATGATTTGACAAATTGTTCTTCGTCCGTCCGTCCCCCACACAGAAGTGTCATTCCTCTCACTGGTCTTAACGATCTAAGCTCTTTCATCATGTTTATCACACTACTTCCTTTTCTCACGGTCATTCACGGTGCAGTCACCTTTCCACATGTATTCATACGTTCTCAACAGTGGCTTTAAAATTTCGTCGTGCTAGTCCCCTCCAGTGGCACGAACGGTCGGAGCGAAGTACTTCTGCCTAATATACTGACAACATTGGGGTTTTAGGAACCTTGAACACACGTTTGCAATGTTCATTCCTGCTCATCTCGACACGTCAGGCTCTTTCACACGAGGCGGTTGGGTTCATTCGGGTGAGGGGCAAAAGCATGCAACCAAACGTCTTTTCCGCCAAAACAGGATGACTCTCTCGCCAGTGTCGCCCAGGCAGCGTCCTTGCCGCTAAGCAGGGTCTGCCCTTGACACAAGGATTTCCTGGCTGGGATCTTAGGCCGTCTCCGCCGAGCACAACACGTTCGGTGAACATCCTCATGAGGAGCATGTGACGACCGCGTCGAGTCGCACCTTCTACAGCGTAAGCACCGTTCCTTTTGATTAGAGCTACCCAGACCGTTCATACCAACTTCAACTGGCTGGCGAAGACCATGAATACAGCGCACAGGTGACGCGTTATTGCCCTGTGACCCAGAGTAGCTCTTCGTCCTCAATATCGCTCGGGTAGCGTCCTTGCCCGTAACGAGAGCCTGCATTTCCCAATGTCAACTACCCAGAGACCTCCTGGCTGGGATTTCATGCTGGCTTCGCCGAGTACAACATCTTTTGCAAACGTTTTGCATCTTTGCATCAACATCTTTTGCAAACGTTTTGCATCTTTTGTACGTGATCACTTCTGCTCTGACGGTCCAAGTCCCACGTCCTTTATCCGCAAAGGTACCGATTCGGCTGACCTGGGCATGGAAGCCCTGCATACATAGTCGTCTTTGATTTTACGCGCCCGCTAGGTTGTTATAAATGTGTTCAAATGGTGTCCTTGGCCTATATCTCCGATAGCCCGACAACATCGATAGAATGAGTATTTCCCTCCACATCACCTCTTCAAAAGCCGGAATGGCCAATGCACCTTGACATTTTCGTTCATAATTCGTGACGTTTGCTGAACGTGCTCCCCATCGAGCCATCACATCTCGAATTGTTGTCATTAGGTTGTTGCATTGTTGCAAGTCGTTGCATAAATATGTCGGGCTTAGTGGAGCCCAGGCCTTAATGTCCTGTGTAATTTGCGTGACACACACGTCATGGCGCCCAACATCGGGCAAAGGCTATTCCAGTGAACATGACATCGCCAGACTGGCGCATAGCTCCGAACTCAAAAACAGAGGACACCAAAGTACGTAAAAAAGATGCAGAAGCAAACATCATATCACATCATATCACATCATATCATAGGCATTTTATTGGCCAGCATCGCAGCTCATCGCGGACTGAACATGGAGCAATTGGAATGGTCGGAACGCCGAATATTTACGACGGTCAGCAAACGCTGAGTGAGTGCATGTTTGTGCTGTGAGGAGGCGCCCGAGTTCGCAAGCTGCAACAACGAATGAAAGTTTAGGTCTGCTAACTTGAAACTTAAAGAAAAAGCGGGAGAGGTTGTTGAGCAGATCAGAGTAGAGGACCAGGAAAATGCAAGGCTAATCTGAAGGCGTTGCTGAAGAGTCAGTTACAAGCAGTAGCAAAGAGGCATTGATACCGGCGTCTCCTCAACAATGAATGATATGGTTCGGGACCGTGAAACGTTTGGCAACGCTTTGGCAGTGGCCGTGGACAACAAATGCTAGAGATGGTTTTCTGAGAAGAGAGTCAGACAATTAGATCCATGTTATAGATTATGGCGGCTGTGGAATGGCGTGGTTCAAACGAACCGTTATCAAGTCATGTATCCTGTCATCCAATATATCCAATCATCCATGTCCTGATGGCATGTGTTGGTTTAATTTGTATTTTGCACGAATCTTACGTGAAATTGTGGCCCAACAATGTCTTGCGAGCTGGAAGCGTAACAATTTATTTGCAACGTGCACAGTTCCTTATGTAACTCTGCCAATTAATAAACAATTGCGTGACTAGCCCTAGTCCAAGAAAATTGTGCTTCTATCATTAGTTAGTGATTTCGGCAGTAGCGCGAGTCTTTACATATAGTTATAGCTGTGAATGATGGACTTTTGCTTGGACACGTAGCTGCGCACTTGCAATGCACACTGTTTTGGTATATATTTGATAGAAGGTAACGAACGTTGCCACGAATTCTTTTTCACCGGTCAGTTAATTTAGGAACTCGCCCGAGTCTTCACGAAAAACTTGAATCAGGATGGCTGTTATTGGGATTCGATGCGTAGCTGTTTGCTTGTGGCGCGCATAGTAGCGTGCATTGAGGCTCATTCTATTTTGGTGGCTTTACTTAATGCACCGCATTGAGGTCAGAAAGTCTGCTCGAAAGTCCGGTGAGTACATGAGTAGGACGGTGCAATTGATCGTGTTATTTCCTTTCAAACTGGGTAAGCCAACAATAAATCACTCGCAACACGATTGCTGTAATATTCTGCAGCAATTGTCAGCGATCAAATTGGTTTTCTGATTACCGGTCTAGAGCATCACTGATTCAGTACTCATAACCAGCATACAGCTTTGGTCAGATTGGTCCGCAAGGGATTTTCCGCCATGTTTTCCGAACGGCGGGGAGTAGCTGTGCCAAATTTTGCATAGCTGTAGACGATTGAATAACGGATCGGATCGTATGGTGTCAAAGCAATTGCATGCGTCTTGTAAGGTCGCTGACCTACGGCGCGTCAAAGTCAGGCCCTGGATTCAGTGACGACAATTTCTAGGGAGTCGTTCAGTCTCATGCAACAACTGAGTGTTAGACAAAGCCATACATCTCGGAGATACTTTCTTAGGCAACACAACAATTGAATGACCAAATTCCATTGAGCTGGGAATGAATTTTGGATTTTGACTTCGGTCCGACCTTCATACCTGACCATAGCGTCAGGTATGAAGATCAGACCAAGGTCAGAACCAACCTATTTTATTACTCTGGGGCTTGCTGTATGGGGCAGTTTTTGGTGTTCATTTCGAATTGATTGAAAACAAAAACCGCATTAGACATCTTCCACTGACTTTTTAAACGTCAGAATAGGTCACTGACCTAAGATAATCCGGGTCAAGATTTTGTTTTTAGGAACACACCGCCTAGCGTAATTTTTTCGCCCATTCAGATGCAAAACTCAAAGCAGTCTTCTATGATGATGGTCACCATGACATTCGAAAGGTCAAACAAGGTCACTGACGTTAAATGAGCACGTGAACTTTCTCTAAGAACAGGTATCAGGGTATTGTGGACACTTTGGAGGCCAACTTGGGGTTTGACCTTGACCTTGTTTGACCTTATTTGAATTGAAGGTCATGACCAAGGAACCTGAAACTTTGATCCGAGTGAGCTCACGCACAGGCCAACGCGCCCCGTGAATTCAGTGTCTGTAGCCCTCTTAGTTCCTGAGGTCTGAGGGAGTCAAATGGGCACCCACCCGAGCGAAGGGTATCCAACCGGGTGCACGGGCGCGTGTTGATTGTTTCTGACCGCCTTTCACGGGAAAGAGTTACCTGCCATATTTTCGCTCTACGTTGTAGAAACTGTATTATTTGCCTGGAAATATTTTGCATTATTTTAGCAACGCAGTGAACTATCGTATGATAGGACTTCAGACGCTGAAGAATGCAACGACATGAATTTTACGGATTCTTAGCGTGTGGCTGATGCAGCATGACCTTCCGAGTCAATGGTTCGGTTTTGCGTAAGTTTTGGAATTGGTTTAAACGCATCAATCAGTCAGAACCAGAGAGCTGCTTTAGGAAGCTCTTATTTGTGAATTCTACTGTTTCCAAGGCTTCGTGGTTGGTTAATTACGATAGTGCATCTGAGCAAAGGGGTTATGTTCAAGGGCGTTTCAGTTCAGATAATGAACGAAGGATAAATTACGCGTGACATTCAGCGACCGTTCAAGATTCAGTGCCCAGAACTGCCCGTACGGCGCAATAAAATTGAAAAAAATATCGGTTAACTTGAAGTCGAAAAGGATTTTCTAGGCAGCAATAGCAGACGGACGAAATGAACAGTTTTCAAACCCCTTTTGCTTTTGAAAGCGATGGCAGACCAGGCCTCCTTGCACCTTGTCACAGCATGCATGCAACCGTTCGCTTCGTACATCCGTGATAATTGAGCGATGGGGCCATTGCTGCTAAACAATGATTACGTTACAACTGCAGAAAGAAGTGGATTACGTGACAACTGCAGAAAGAAGTGGACACTAACGAGAGAACCATCCTGTATTGGCGGAAAGTACGTTTGGTTAGACGCTTTTACCCCTCACCCGAATGAACTATTAACGCCTCGTGAACGGGCCTGACGCGTAGGGATGAGGAAGAATTAACATTGCAAACGTTTGCTCTAGATCCCTGAACCCCAATTTTGGCAGTGGATTAGGCAGAAGTACTTCGCTCCGACCCTTTTGTGCCACTAGAGGGGACTAGAGGAGAAAATTTGTCGGACCGGAGTTGATTAGTGATACGACGAATGAATGCAGCGTATGATGACAGTGATACAGATGCGTGGAGTGGAATGAAGATCAGTCAATTTGAAGGACCAGGAGAAGCAACGGCAGCTCGGCATGGGGCATGCGGGACGAGGAAGGTTTAGTCAAGTCATAATTACAACAAAGTTAGGAATGTTGAAGCTGAAGACGGACAGGAGGGAGGGGGGAGTAGACGAGATGGCCGGCGGGGCGTGTTGTAACCCAAGTCGTGTCAGGCGGGTGTAGCAGGGGAAGAACCATACCACGGTTCCTCCCAAATATGATTGTGCTTCTAGCCTCAACCTCATTCTCCATCATGAGCAGTGAAGTGCCTATGTGTCTCACAAGGAATTGTCCAGCCTTATATTTGTATATAGTTATGAAAGGATCACGTGCTGTGGCACATTACTGAGGGAGTGAATGAAGATAACGAAGGAAGGTAGCGCCCGCAAACTACCTTCAGTGAACTCTCAAGATGCAAGCGCCCCTATAAGATTTTGGAAAATGTTACAAAGGTCCTTTTCAGAATGCTGCAAAAGTGGTTTACAGTAAAACGAAGTACCATAGAGCCTCAGGACCACCTCCACTCCTCTCGTAAAGCCCGAGAGCCCCTAAAAAGCAAATTAGTGAAAAGGAGCAAATCCTGCGCAAACTGTTGTGCAGTGCGCAACCCGTTGCAACGCTGCATACCATTGGCAGAAGCGTCTAACGCAGTTAACCAGAAGCCAATCAAATTGTTTTAAAGTGGGCATTTTAAAACATTAATGTTTCAAAGCTTCAGTGGAGAGCTTCGAAGTCAGCTCGAATCTCGAATCCGAATGCGAATCCTAATCCACCCACCGTTAGACTCGAAACCTGAGTCGCAGCCAATCCTCAGCTCTAGTTTACAGCCTTTCTAAACAGCTTCACCATTGCAAAATGCACGCAAACTCAAAGCTTGTAGGGCTTGCACTGCGATGATTGAACGGCACACGATACAGTTCAGCTAATTCCGCTTTTTGAACAGGCTGACTGGGTGAAAATTAGACACTGAAGAACTGGCTTTGTGATATACGTTGATGGTACTTGTCATACATTGATATATAGTACTTATGGATGTATTATACATAAAGATAATGATTCATTGCATATAATACCTGGAAGGAAGATACTGAACTGAATTTAATTTTCTGTTAACGCACCTCTGGTCTTGAATAGGCCAGAGAAGTCATTAATTACACTCCCTTGGCGTTCCAGAAGTGAGTGTTTAAGCAGCGCGTCTGGCAAACCAGAGGCATGGGGTGCTGTTTTATGTGGTGCCAGCCCTTCCTGCCAAGATGGTCGGGAAGAGCGGCAAAACATGTCCCACATTCGCCTCACGAGCGATGCCCCACCGAGCTAGCCGCTTACCCAGCAGACCGGTGACGGAATGCTCCCCCCGAGCGCCCCCACCGAGCTAGCCGCTTACCCAGCAGACCGGTGACGGAATGCTCCCCCCGAGCGCCCCCACCGAGCTAGCCGCTTACCCAGCAGACCGGTGACGGAATGCTCCCCCCGAGCGCCCCCACCGAGCTAGCCGCTTACCCAGCAGACCGGTGACGGAATGCTTACCCCGAGCGCCCCCACCGAGCTAGCCGCTTACCCAGCAGACCGGTGACGGAATGCTTACCCCGAGCGCCCCCACCGAGCTAGCCGCTTACCCAGCAGACCGGTGACGGAATGCTTACCCCGAGCGCCCCCACCGAGCTAGCCGCTTACCCAGCAGACCGGTGACGGAATGCTCCCCCCGAGCGCCCCCACCGAGCTAGCCGCTTACCCAGCAGACCGGTGACGGAATGCGTACCCCGAGCGCCCCCACCGAGCTAGCCGCTTACCCGGCTGGCCGGTGACGGAATGCTCGCCCCCGAGCGCCTCACCGAGCCAGCCGCTTACCCGACAGACCGGTGACGGAATGCTTACCGCCTAGCGTTGTCAGACCCTTAGCACGAGCCGCCGCCGTCAGGTCGGAGAAGCTGCAGCGGTGTTCCGGCTGCCAGGTGATGTACTTCTGCAACCGCCACTGTCAGAAGAACGCCTGGAGCGAATTTCACAGGTGAGCACGGCCCAAGCCCGGCCGGTCACCTGCCGGGACTGGTGACCAGTGTTCGTAGTGCCAGTCGACTCCACCCGATATTGATCGTGGTCGACAGTGCACTGGTTCAAGGTTGCACTGTGCAAAAGGCAACCGCCTAGGTGTCGTTTCCGGCTCGCCAAAAGCATGAAGCCGTCAGCGAATTCCATTTACAATTGTGTTTTGGCTTATTGAAACGCCATCACTGAAGCACAAAAAATTTGAACGGCTAGACCCGGGCCTTCGCGTTAAAGGCTGGACTCATCAAATGAATCAGTGTGCAGTCGCGTAAGGACGCGCAGTGTGCAGTCACGTCCCCGCCCCGTGGATACCGTATTCTTATTTTCTGTCCGAGTATCCACATTTTGTATCCATATTCTGTTTACCTGTGTTTGAGCGTGTGCGGTGCTTAAGGCGTCGGCGGCCGGGATGCGCCCGGCGATCTGGCGCCGACCGCGGCCTTCGCCGCCCTCCCTCCCCCCCCCCCCCCCCCCCCCCCCCCGGTCAAGACAACCCCCGGCTCTTGACGCCCCAGCGGCCGGACGGGTCAGAGTGCCGTGCAGTCGTCCGTCACTCCATGGCCAGGCTATTGCCACCGGCGACATGTCGGCCAACAACGCGCGTCGTGTATCGTGAGACGGCCGAGGTGAAGTGCGTCGAGTATCGTGAGACGGCCGAGGTGAAGTGCGTCGTGTATCGTGAGACGTCCGAGTTAAATTGCGTCGTGTATCGTGAGACGGCCGAGGTGCGGTCCGTCGTGTAGCGTGAGATGGCCGAGGTGATACGCGTCGTGTAGCGTGAGACGGCCGAGGTGATGTCCGTCGTGTATCGTGAGACGGCTGAGGTGCTGTGCGTCGTGTAGCGTGGGACGGCCGAGGTGATGTGCGTCGTGTATCGTGAGACGGCCGAGGTGAAGTGCGTCATGTATCGTGAGACGGCGGAGGCGATGTGCGTTGTGTATCGTGAGATGGCCCAGGTGCAGTCCGTCGTGTATCGTGAGACGGCCAAGGTGCAGTCCGTCGCGTAGCGTGAGACGGCCGAGATGATGTGCGTCGTGTAGCGTGAGACGGCCGAGGTAGTGCCGAAACCGTGACCATTGGATCCAGACGCATTGGAGAACGCCTGCAAGTGGTCAGCGAATGCAATGAGGAGTGCTTTTTTACGATAGTGTAGCGACAAATCATTTTGTTGTTTGTAAAACATCATTGTAAAGCAACAACAAAACGTTTGTTGTTTGTAAAACAAATCAGCTTGCTGATGTTATTATTGCCCATCAATTCACGAATCATATTACTTGACTTAACCACTATAAATCTGGCCAGGCCGGACGGCTTTGTTCTAGAAATCAATCAATTTGTTTTAGTTCACTTTTTATGACTGAGGCTGAAGCATTAAAAAATGCGCGTATTTGGATAATCAGCTGGATTCATTGTGACCATGTAGCTGTGCAATTCGCAGCACCATCCTCTTGAGCTAAGCTTTAGTGTTGTGTTAAATACCGTTTTCGAAAGATCATTGATCTCCCCAAGCGGTCACTGACACTGGTGGGTAAATTGATCATGAGGTGATTTATAAGACTCACGTTTGCATTCGCCTGCACCGTGCATCTAGTTGCACATCTTTATCAGCTTTGATTGTCAAGATCTTGATACCCAAGGGCGGTCGGATGCACGGCTTGCACAGGCTGGCGGCCGCTGGTGCGTGATCGGCGGCACGTGTCGACCCACACTCATCACTGAGATTGTCCGTGCACTCCTCGTCACGTGGTGTCGGCCGCATTTCCAGCGTTGCTTGAATGCGGTAAACCATGCTTCGTCCATATTGCAATGCTGGGAGAAAGTCACCAGGCATTCTGCATTCCCAAACACATTCTGCCCGAGGAGGTGTTATGGGACGGATTCCGAATCTTGGGCACATCATTCGCCTTAGGTTTACAGCCGGCCGATGCCGTGGTAGATCCGAGGGAAGCCATGTGGGTCTGTCCTGGCCTGCCCGCTTAACGAGGGTGGAGTAGGGTGGGGGTACGGGATGGGGGAGGGGCTGAGGGACATAGATGGAGTTGGCTAACAAAGGCCGGCTGGTTTCAGATAGTCTATAAATATTTTAGTTCTGCTTGAGATTGCAATCTGGTGGGCGGCGGGGGAGCGGGAGGGAGGTGGCATGGCCCTGTTACCCCATCCCAGAAACCGCCTTACCAGTATTATAACATGAAAATGGGACTTAACGAGCGCCTGGGGGCATTAGGCAGCTATATAGGACTTACATCGCGCGGTATTACTCCCTTGGTACCAGAATAACGGAATCAAAATTGCCGTGTGGCGTTTTCACTTTGGTGTCATATGGTGTGTCATGTTGTGCGAGACTAAGAGAGACGTGGTGGTGTGGTGTGGTGTGGTGTGGTGTGTCGCGCCGTGTCATGGTCAGGCCTTTTGCGACAAGCTGCATTTACCAAGATGTCTGATGACCCCTGTAGTATTAGATCAAAGCGCAATTTACATTTGATCAAAAAACTCTAAATCGATGAATGGTAACATGCTTATCCAGTTCCCCCACCCACTTGAGCAAAGCCAAAGCCAAAGTTTCGTCAAAGCAACACCTGGTGAACGGTGACCCGTCCCTACCACATGGCATGTATCGCCGGCCGTGTGGTTCTGGATCACCTGGCCCCTGCAGGCCGGACCGGGCCGCCGCCGAGCTGACGTCCTCTCGCGGCCGCGCGAGCGCGCCGTGCCGCTCCCTGCAGGGCGCCGCGGCCCGGCTCCAGCCGATCGGACCGGACGTTGAGACGGCGCGCCCCCTGTCGGCAGACTGGAGTGTCGCCGCCTGAAGCTGGCCTCGCCGCGCGCCGTACCCGACACAGCCCTGCTGCTGGCGCGGCTCATCTGCAAGCTGCGTGTGAGCGGGGCGACGGGGCGGCTGCGACCGGCGCCCGGTGGCGGGGCGCGTCCGCAGCCTGCTGATCTCGGAGGGCTGTTTGGCGACAATCGAGCATCACGTGAAACCCGTGGGATCTTGCTCACTTCAAACCTTCGGAATCGTCTTCTCTTAATAGTTCTATAAATGCCCACTTGGAGCACTCCAAGCCAGCAGTTGTATCGTTCAGGTTGACAGTTGTAAGGTACCCTCGGCCCATTGAGCGCATTCCAACTATTGACCCTCGGTCAGTCTCGCACACGTCTCGTAATCCGAGGATTCCTGGGCACCATGATGCTGGGTGGCGTTTCGGCGCCCGGTGCTGGAGAGCGACGAGGGGGGGGGGGGGGCGCAGCCGGGATGCAGCCGGCATCACTGATCTCCGTCCGCCGGACAGCGCGGTGGAGACCGCCTCTCGGAGCGCGTCACCGACACCCGACACCGCTCCTTCAAAGACCTCATGTCGCACTACAAGGACATAAAGGCGTCCGCCAAGCGGATGGAGCACGTCATGTCGCTGAACGTGGTGCTCAAGAGTTTCCTGGGCGATGAAGAGTTCCCCAATCTGTCGGAGTTGACTGGCATGTACGGCCGGGTATGTACCACGAGCGGGGCAGAACTCCTCCACATGGGCCCCTCTCACCCTCTGTCCTGACATGTGCCGTTTTACCTTGATGCAATTTTACCTATATGTAATTTATTTTTTACCTCTGTTTGATGAAGGACACTGACTTGTTTCGGGGTATCTGATTGGTCGGATTCTGACGTTCACACTGTTGAAAGTTACTGCCACCGTCGTTAGTCCCGTATCGTGCGTCTGCTGTTAGTCATGGTATTGCCATGTCTGGCCAGAGTGACGAATAGCTGTGCTGCGACCGTTCTTCGCGAGGGCGTCCTCTCTTGCGACCTCTTGTGACCTCCCATTCCCGGCAGGTATGCGTCAACGGCTTCAACATCCTGGACGGCGAGATGTCTCCAGTGGCAGTGGGCGTGTATCTCGCTCCGTCCGTGATTGACCACTCGTGCCAGCCCAACGCTGCCGCCACGTTCGCTGGCCGCACAATCTCCATCCGTGCTATCGAAGACATCCCCAGCTTCTCCTGGGATAAGGTTGGTGGCGGGGGAGAAAATTTTGCATGCACGCTGCATGCAACATTTTCTGCCGTTGCACCAACGTTGCACGTTGCATGTCTCCTGCACTCCTTCGGGACCAATGGAGCGGAAGCAACGGAGAACGCTGTGCGAGAAACTGCTGGTATAGCCATTAGACGTGATGGTGGATGCAGTGCAGAGAATGGGTCACGGCGCACCAGTCTCCCGCGTTTTTGCCAGTTAGACCCTTCAAAACAAGGTCGTGTCTAGATGATCTCAAGGACTAGAAAATGTGGCCCTCAACTCATCTTCAGGCTTTTTCCTGCTCAAATAGTCCGGGTGCCTTATGGTCCGTCAAGCGACTCGAGGATACTTAAAAAAACGTAGCGGCGTGCTTCATCCCGTCTAGCCAAAGGGCGGTGAGCGGGCTCCTGAAGACGCATGCAAGTAACGCACGGATTATGGGCACTGCGTGTAGGCCCTTCGCGCAGATTTCTCAGAAGGTACGGAGGTTGCATGCCCCAAGCAAAGCGATGCGGTGTGCTCGAGGAACGGGGCACCGTCGGATCGCTTGGTGGGAGGACCTAGCAGGCGCAGTGGACTGGCTGTTGAGGTGACAGATGGCGGCAGGACCTAGCAGGCGCAGTGGACTGGCTGTTAAGGAGACAGATGGCGGCAGGACCTAGCAGGCGCAGTGGACTGGCTGTTGAGGTGACAGATGGCGGCAGGACCTAGCAGGCGCAGTGGACTGGCTGTTGAGGTGACAGATGGCGGCAGGACCTAGCAGGCGCAGTGGACTGGCTGTTGAGGTGACAGATGGTGGCAGGACCTAGCAGGCGCAGTAGGACTGGCTGTTGAGGTGACAGATGGCGGCAGGACCTAGCAGGCGCAGTGGACTGGCTGTGCAGCTGACAGATGTCAGTCAGCGCCGTTTACGTACCGCGTGTAGACGTCAATATCATCAAGTAATTGACACACAGCCTAGATACGCATTCCGTTTTTTTGTTGCTTTTTAGTTATTTACATCCCTTCTTAGCAAACACATGGGTCAATAACACACCTAAGGGCGTGATAAACTCAGCTGTTTTGCTCACATTCCAGGAATGTGTCACACCCTTGCGATGTTGTGTACCGTTCCGTTTTGCATGCAAACAGCTTTTCAGCCCCGATATACTTGTATACAGTGCTATCGCAAAGCAATGATTGGCGGAGCGAAATCTAACAGTCTAGTCATATGCACACACACACACACACACACACACACACACACACACACACACACACACACACACACACACACACACACACACACACACACACACGCACGCACGCACGCACGCACGCACGCACGCACGCACGCACGCACGCACGCACGCACGCACGCACGCACGCACGCACGCACGCACGCACGCACGCACGCACGCACGCACGCACGCACGCACGCACGCACGCACGCACGCACGCACATATATATATATATATATATATATATATATATATATATATATATATATATATATATATATATATATATATATATAGTAGTTCAGAAACCCAAGCAATTTAGGTCTTAAGAAGGGCAGGGCTGTGCGCGGCACCGAGTGATACTTAAGCTGTGTATTTCAGCTCACAACCCCATACAAACATGGAACACTCCTCTAAAGCCCCGATAATCATCAACATTTATACATATAAAAACGTGTTGTAGAAACCTACCCGGGCTTTGGTTGAACTCGGACCGTTGTAGGCTGATGGGTGGGATTCGCCTGTGTGGAATCATCAGTAATTCATTTCACTGACCGCGTGGAGTGCAATTGCCAGCTACCCCTATCATAAATGCAAGAGGCGGGGCCGCCGGCTGAACACGGGTGGTGTTGTCGCATCCCTGTCAGTGCTATGTTTATGTCCCTTGAAGGGAATGTTCCACATGTGAAGATATTAAAGCAAACATCGGATATGATGAACTAAGCTCTTTTATGGTTAGTGGTAAAACGTCAAGTGGAAAAAGTGCTCTGGACCACACAATTTCTCGTTGTGATAAATATGCTCCTTGATACGTTATTGTTTCATTGCATCATCGTGCTTTGCACAACATATATTGGAAAGCAGTTGGCGACCGTTACATGTAGAAATCGTACTCACGAACGCCAGATATAAACGACTCAGCAATCATGTTTTATTGGCCTTTATCGCTGCATGGCTAATAGAATGGTAGGATTTCAATGACGTTGTTTACGGCGTCGTGGATGCCTGAGTGATATTGAAGCAGTCTGCACGAAATTGTCTGTACCTCTTGGTCAGCGTGTAGCTCAGAAACTAGAGGGTTATTTAGGGCTTATGGTGAGCAGGACTTTGAACTGCACCGAGCGATCTTCAAAATGGCTGTTTCAGTTCAAAACCCCGCAAATATGTGGAGGACTTTCTTTAACTGTAATTCAACGCTATCGTTCAGATCTGCTGCTGCCAACAGGACTTTTGGCCAACAAATTCACATTCTGCCGATGCTGCATCCATTAAACTACAAGCAGAATAGCTCAGCAGAAATCATGACCGACGCCATGGCATTTTGGATCGCAACGCCAGCCAGGTAGTCCGCCAACATCGGTTCGTGTGTTCGGCCACCTGAAAGTTGCACCTGGTGGCTTGACCCCGTTTGGGTTGGTGTTGCTATGGCGCCATCAAATGGCCTGCCCGATCGAACGGAAGCGACAGTGGCTTGACTGGCAGTGTCATGACCGATAGTAACATAATTAACACCGCGGATGAACGACAGTGGCATGGACGCTCACATCATCAACAGTGGTATGAGGGACTGTGGCTCGACCGACAGTGGCATGAACATTGACGCGACTGACGATAATGTGACCGGCAGTGATGTGGGTGGCGGTGCGTGGCCAACAGCGGCGTGCCGACAGTAGCCCGTATCGGACCGGCTGTGACCGACAGTGGCGTGCCAACAGCAGCCTGTATCGGACCGGTCGTGACCGACAGTAGCCCGTATCGGACCGGCCGTGACCGACAGTGGCGTGCCAACAGCAGCCTGTATCGGACCGGTCGTGACCGACAGTAGCCTGTATCGGACCGGCCGTGACCGACAGTGGCGTGCCAACAGCAGCCTGTATCGGACCGGTAGTGACCGACAGTAGCCCGTATCGGACCGGCCGTGACCGACAGTGGCGTGCCAACAGCAGCCTGTATCGGACCGGTCGTGACCGACATTAGCCCGTATCGGACCGGCCGTGACCGACAGTGGCGTGCCAACAGCAGCCTGTATCGGACCTGTCGTGACCGACAGTAGCCCGTATCGGACCGGCCGTGACTGACAGTGGCGTGCCAACAGCAGCCTGTATCGGACCGGTCGTGACCAACAGTAGCCCGTATCGGACCGGCCGTGACCGACAGTGGCGTGCCAACAGCAGCCTGTATCGGACCGGTCGTGACCGACAGTAGCCCGTATCGGACCGGCCGTGACCGACAGCGGCGTGCCGACAGTAACCTGTGGCGGGCCGGCCGTGACCGACGGGGACGTGTCGACAGGTGCGGATCAGCTACATCGACACCATGGCTGACACGGAGACGCGGCTGCGTGAGCTGCGCAACGGCTACTTCTTCGACTGCGACTGCCCGCGCTGTTCGGCCGGCGAGTTCGCTGACCTGGAGCGGGCGCTTTGCTGCGGTGAGCCGCCGGCCCGTGACACCGACTCCGCTCCGCGTCGGCCATTGTCCCAGGGCTTTGGACGCATTGGCGGCGTGTTGAAGCAGCGCTCTCTTATTTGCTATTGCACGGGATAAGAGCAGCTGGTGCCAACGGCCTGGCACCAGCTGGCACTTTCGTGATTGTAGTTTAATTAGTTAGTTATATTTTCTTTTGTTAGTGGTGCCGAATCATGTGCCGTTTTATCTATCTTCATGTGTGATAACTAAGAAAGATTTGCCAACGCCACATCTGCCTGACCCGGCGTGACCGCGGCCTGACCGCGGGGTCCGTCCGAGCGTACCGGGATGGTGCGTGCGGCCGGCCGTCGGCTCCCGTGTGCAGTCCCGTGCCCCGGCGACCCAGCGACGCGCGCGGCTCGTGACACCGGCTCTGCGCCGGCAGGCACGCCCAACTGCACGCGGCAGGTGATCCTGCCGGCCGACGACTCGGACGAGCTCCCCCGCTGTGAGCGCTGCCGCTTCGACAACTACCCGACGGACGTGCGCGCCGAGTTTGACGAGCTGCGGCAGGCGACGCGCGCCGCTGCCCAGGACAACACAGTCTGTGAGTGTGCCCCTTCCGTCGCTCCCGCTGTGGACCGCGGCTGGTGGCGGGACGCCGAAGAGCCAGAGAATGCGGCGCCGAGTCTGAAACGGGAACCGCGCGCGACAAGATTACGGCCAGGAAACTAAACTGCCGGACATTGAGGCTCAAACATTATTCGTTTTTCGTATTTTTGACCGTGAAACCTGTCTTCTCACCCGCTAAAGTAATTATTTTCAAAACCACTGAGTCCAATTCGCCTTCTCGTTTTGACGCAAGCCGCGTTTCTTGCGTTATGCTGCGTGTGTTGCGGCGGTGTTGGCGGGCATAATCATATCGCCTTTCTGCACGGCAGATTACGACCTGTGCCTGCGTGTGCTGCGGCGGCAGGAGCCGCTGCTGCACCCACTTAACGTGTACCGCGTCAAGATGCTGGACCTGGCGCTGGAGGCGGCCATCAGCACCGACATGTGGGAGCGCTGCCTGGAGCTGGGCCAGCAGCTGGAGGAGGGCTACCGGTCAGTGACATGTGGCGGCGCCTATGACGAGGTCCAAAGGCGGGACAGTGGTCACGTGGCCGTGCTAGCCGTTACCTGTGACAAGGTATGAAGGCCGGGACTGCTAGACCACGGCTGACCTGAGACGGTCACTTTTACGAACAGCCAAGGGAGGCGGTCGATCCCACTTGCCGGGAGTTTGTGTACACGAACCGTTGGAATGCATGACGTGACAGGCTCCCGTTTTGCGTCGCGGCAGTGTGACGCCTGTCGGCGTGACTCCTATAGCGTGCCCCGCTCCAGCTGCAGCTCCAGCTCCAGCTTCAGCTGACATACTTCCGACCCCCGCAGGAAGTACTACGGACCATACGGGGCGCTGACGGGCGTGTTCTACCTGAAGCTGGGCAAGATTGCGCTCTATCGGTTCAGGCACGAGCTGGCGGCGCGCTACCTGGGCCTGGCGGCTGACGTGCTGCGCGTCACACACGGCTCCGACCACCCGCTGTACGGCAGTCAGCTGGCGCCGCTGCTGCACCAGCTGGCCGCCGAGACCGACCGGCGCGGCCTGCCCTCGCGCTGAGCGCCCTCCTCCCGCGGCGGGGTCAGGCCAGGTGCACACCTCTCTGGCATTTTTCTGCCCCCTCTGCGGTCGGTCGGGGCGCGGGCGCACCCGACCGCCAGGCGGGACCGTTCTCCGCCCATCGCCTGCGCTGAGGTCAGGGTCGTTAGCTGCGCGGTGGGTCGTCTGACCCTGTGCGGAGGTCAAGAGCGGTCTCTGCCTCTGCTCAGTGCCGCTAGCCCAGGCCGGCCTTGTACTGCGATGACGTCCGTCTGGCTCTCGCAGTGTCAGTCTTTCTATAGTTGTTTTTGTGGGCGGGGTCGTGTCGCCCTTCTGTCCGACTGATGTGTTTTTGTATAGGCGTATTCCAGTCTTATGCGTAGTCCAGCCCACTCGCCAACGGCTAATGACCATTGACACCATGCGTAACAAGTGCTCGAGTGGTACTGACAGCGTTTTGTTAGATAATACATTTCCCGTGGTAGCCGAGACATTGTATTCATGACGAACGTATGAGAAACGGCGCGGCTGGTGTTCATGGACGATGCGCCGCTGGCCCGGCCGCCTCGTCTGGCAGACCTGGCGGGGTGTTCAGCGCCACGAACTGAAGTTGGACGCGCCGCTGAAACCGCAGGAGCGTTGTCGGTCGATGGCTCAGCACTGAGCGTAGACGGTCTGCTGGACTGGGGAGGCCAGGGACACGATCACACCACGCGCCAAACGTGGCGGACAGCAGCCGCCTTGGCAACGGTGTCCCAGCCGGACGCCCGTTCGGTGCAGGTGTGCTGGGTTGGGGTTCAAATCCATAGTTTCGTCGGTAGCAGCTCGGTCGATAGTCCATGCTAGCACTTTTGTAAACACGGTTGCGTGCTTGCAGCCCCACTCGCTTGCAGCCAACATGTGTGAAACATGTTGGCTGCAAGCGAGTGGGGCTGCATTTCTGCTGCCGGACTTTGAAACTTTTATGCTACCGCTTTGAAACGGTGAAATGCGTTACATGTGATGAACAGGGGCGCAGTTGGACGATTCTGTAGGCATCGCTTTCCACAACGGGCCCGGGCCGCTGCAAGCCGCGCAAAGTTGGTAGGCTAATGAGCGAGCTGTTTGTCACCGGTTTGCTTTAGATTAGTGGTGGCTGGCCTTTCAAAGGTAGGGGATGGAGGCCGGAGGCAGATGTTAGCGGCGTGGCCCAGGTGGGGTGGCGGGGCCGGGGAACACGAACACACCACATGCCAAACATGGGGCACAGCAGCCAGCTCAGCCCCGGCGCCCCAGCCAGCCGACCATTCGGCGCAGGCGTGTGGCGCTGGGGCCCAAGTGGCGGCGATTCGGTTAAAATATGACTTGCTCGTAATGAAACGAGCAATTGTTCCCAAATACCTGGCTACGGAATAATTCAGGGAACAATCGGCAAATGACCAAAATGACCAGCTGTCAGCAGCTCGTTTTTTATTTATAAGAGGAAGGTAATTTGAGCCGCAGCACTCCACTTCATGGAGAGCCAGAGAGATAATTGAACACATCCATCACCAAGGGCTTTGGTGCAACCCGGGTTCGGATCCGCGTCCTCACGCCCAGGCCGAAGGCGGCAGCTATCAAGCCATTGCGCTCCTTCCGTAGCTCAGTGGCAGCATGTTCTTTTGCTCTCTACATGGTAAAGTTGATGGGGCCCGTTTTAAAGCTGTTCAGTTCGTCGAAATGGTTCAACAGAAACACATTGCAATCCGGTAAAAGCCTCGCAGGTTATGCCTCACCAACCATTTGGTGTCCGAGTACCTCCACCCACCACACCAGACCAGCTAGTGACGGATGGTGGTCACATAACCAGCCAGTTGGTGCCCAGGTACCTCCACCCACTACACCAGACCAGCAAGTGACGGCTGGGGGCCACATCACCAGCCAGTCGGTGCCCAGGTGCGTCCACCTGCTACACCAGACCAGCTAGTGACGGCTAGGGGTCATATCACCAGCCAGTCGGTGTCCGAGTACCTCCACCCACCACACCAGACCCGGCTCGAGGTCACATCACCAGGCAGTCGGTGCCCAGGTACCTCCACCTGCTACACCAGACCAGCTAGTGACGGCTGGGGGTCACATCACCAGCCAGTCGGTGCCCAGGTACCTCCACCTGCCACATCCGACTGGCCTGTGGCATCTGAGAGTCAGAGGATCGGCCAGTTGGTGCCTGTGGTCTCTCACACACCATTGAACCAGCACGACAGCACGGTAATAGCCAGAGGCAACGGAAGTTTTCCCAAGTTAGGGGGGGGGGAGCTGATAACCACTTTTGGTTATTTCTTTCCAGTCAACGTTGCTAGGACCAGTGCTCTTTTCCAAAAAGTGAGGGTTCGGCCCCTGGCGCCCTCGTTACCACAACCATTGTTACACTGGCGGCGCCTCCCGGCAACAGCAGCCGACTGACAAGGACGGCCACCGGACGAACTATCCGTTCAACAACGGACGGAGCAGTGGCGCTGCCTGTCACGCAGCGTAAGTCGGGCGTCCACGACGCTTTCTCGTGCCTGCGCCATCCGCAGGCGCAAAAACGACGCCACCGGCGGCGACAGCGCCAGATCTGGCCGAGTCTGGCGACGTCGGAACCTGAGGGCGGGGGTCGGGAGCCCACGTCACGCCACCCGTAGCATTCCCACCGGCCGTTTGGTCCGCAGTGCTCCCGCGTTGGCCGCGTAACGCCGAGCCGGCAGCGGAACACTGTACGGAGGGTGTAGATCCGGCAGCGGAGCGCTGTACGGAGGGCGTAGAGCCGGCAGCGGAGCGCTGTACGGAGGACGTAGAGCCGGCAGCGGAGCGCTGTACGGAGGGCGTAGAGCCGGCAGCGTAGCGCTGTACGGAGGGTGTAGAGCCGGCAGCGGAGCGCTGTACGGAGGGTGTAGAGCCGGCAGCGGAGCGCTGTACGGAGGGTGTAGAGCCGGCAGCGGAGCGCTGTACGGAGGGTGTAGAGCCGGCAGCGGAGCGCTGTACGGAGGGCGTAGAGCCGGCAGCGGAGCGCTGTACGGAGGGTGTGCCACCGACGCGGGGCCGATCCGTGGGCGCTCAGCAAGCTGTTCGGCTGATCCAAGGCTGTCTTCACCTTTCCACGCGGGATTGCGTAGACAAGGATGAAGCCTGGAAAGTGTCAAGTTGTGGTAGTGGCAGAGCAATGTTTAAACCTTTCGCACTCGTGCTCGATGGTTGTGGCTCGCGACGAGGCAATAGGCAAAAAGCACGATTCAGTTGGTATGCGCGAATGTCACTACATATGGCAGGAAATGCTGCTAACAAAAGTGACGGGCCTGGTTGGGTTCCACCCACGGAAATTTGGCCACATAACTCCAACATTCTCTAACAAATTATGTGTGTTTAAGTGCGACAAAATGTGATTAAAGCTGATGCGCGTAATACACGATCAAAAACTTGAACGTAAACACGTCAACTACAAGCTACCACAAATGGGGAAAACGTTTGCCCGAACATGTACGCGCTCGCGGATTTTATTGTCTATTTTCCACACATATCAGCGGCTGTGCTTATGTGCGTCGCGCAGAAAAGGAAAACTAAAAAGACCATTACTATACGCAAGGCATAAACAATCTAGTTCCTGAGGCTCCAACCTGACGTGGGGACAAAGTGGAAATATGGGTAAGTGGAACGTGCGCGCAGATACAGTCTGGGTGGGCGAAAAATGTTCAAAGTCTGATGAAGTAGATGCGTGTGATACCCGGGTTCAGGGGCGGCGCCACAGGTTTTTAACTGAGAGGCAAGATTTTCTAGGGGTCCTCCTGAACAAAAACGGGCCTCCTCGCAGGGGTGTCTCCAACGCAGCTTCGCATTCAGACAGGAGTGACACTGAGGGCATGCCCCCCCCCCCCCCCACACACACACACTTAATCAAGCTCTTGCATGTATCATATCCAAGTCAATGAATGTCAGCAGTCAAGACATCTAAAATAAAACTTCTCATTATCAATAGCGTCTCACTAACCTTTAACAGGGTCTCCTGATTCCAGAAAGGAGGTCCCTGATACAAAGAGAGACCTCCTAATCCAGAACGGGACGTGAGAGATTTACCAAGGGGGCCTCTAGATCTAACCAAGTGGCCTCGCTATCTCAGAAAGCCTATGCTGATCCGGAGCCGCAGCCATCTGAAGCATGGAAGTGGCCCTCGGGTGCAGAAATGGGGCCTCCTGACTGTAAGGGGTGTTTCCAATGCCGGGACAGAGGCCTCCTAGTTTGTAACGGGGGTCTCCTTAACACGACATTGTGTCCCTGATCTAGACCATTGGCTCCTTTATTACTACAGGTGAACCAAGAAGCCAGGGAACAGGTCCTTTGATGTCGCAGAGGGTCTTCTGAGCCAAGTTATTTACCCTCTAGCTCAGTTATGATGCCTCCGAATGGTGCCTCTGAATTTGGTACTTGATATGTAGCTTCAAAACCTTTAGTTAGGAAAAAGAGGCGTCCCAAAAATTTGAAGGAGGGAAAAAAAGGTACTCTGTCCCTTGCTGTGCCCCCTCCCCCCCCCCCCCCCACCCCCCGGCCTGGCTCTTCGTGCACCAGGTTACAGCTCAGATCAACCATGATCAGCCCCGACTGAGTACACTGTACACTGCAGAAGGCTGAGGTTCGATTTTCAGCACCCGTGCGAGACGGCCTCGACCGCACGCTTGCTGTTGGGATGTTCGCCGAAGCACACAGACACACAGAGGCACATGTCGACTTTTCGGGTCCCAATGTCAGAGGACTGCTCCGACGACCCCGTACGAGGCTGCGCCCTCCGCGTCGGCCACCGGACCGATGGCTTTGCTTAGGTAGCCCATGCCAGCGACCCCACCAACGGTTACTGGTTGGCGCAGCGTTAATCCTATCGCTCGCCAGTGGCTGCCATCGCCTGAGAAGAAGCCTGTCGGGGGAAGAGCCCGCTGAAGTCAGAACTGAAGAAGGATCTGACACCAAGATTGTCGCACGCGTTAAAGGGATAGCTTCACATTTGAAGATACTGAGGCAAGCATCAGAGATGATGAAACGAGCTCACGTTTAACTATTAATATGATTTTTAAGTGGAAAAGACTGCTCTAGAGAGCAAAATTCCCTGTTTACTAAATATGCTCCTCAATTCGTCATGGTATGATCGCATCATCGTGCCTTGCGCCACACTGAATGAGAGCCCATTGACGGCCGTTATATACGGAGATCGCGTTCACAAACGTCAGATATGAACGCCTCGACAAGTTTGTTTTTCTTTGCCTTATGCGCCGCACTGCTTATGGAATGGCGTAATTTGAATGAGAAAGGTGCTGAATAACCGGAGTGGCGCCCGCGTACTCTGGGTTTGCGGTACGGGTTTGCCTTTCTGCTGAGGCGATTCGCACATAGTGTGCTCGACTCGCCTTTTTAACGACATTGTAAGAGTTGTGTCGGAAACACTGCGCTTCGAACAGACCGCTCAAGTAACCTGCCGACTGCCGCCATACTGCGCTTTAAACAGACAC